TTAACAGCATTAACATGGCATTAACAGCGTCAACATCATTAACAGCATTAACATGGCATTAACAGCATTAACATGGCTTTAACAGCATTAACAGCGTTAACAGCGTCAATATCATTAACAGCATTAACATGGCATTACCAGCATTAACAGCATTAACATGGCATTTACATGACATTAACAGCATTAACAGCATTAACAGCATTAACATGGCATAAACAGCATTAACATGGCATTACCAGCATTACCAGCATGAACAGCATGAACATGACATTACCAGCATTACCAGCATGAACAGCATGAACAGCATGAACAGCTTTAACATGGCATTAACAGCATTAGCATCGCATTACCAGCATAACCAACATGAACAGCATGAACAGCATGAACATGGCATTAACAGCATTAAAATGGCATTAACAGCATTAACATGACATTAACAGCATTAACATGGCATTAACAGCATTAACATGGCATTAACAGCATTAACAGCATTAACAGCATTAACATGGCATTACCAGCATTAACAGCATTAAAATGGCATTAACAGCATTAACAGCATTAACAGCATTAACATGGCATTAACATGGCATTAACAGCATTAACATGGCATTAACAGCATAAACATGGCATTAACAGCATTGACAGCATTAAAAGCATTAACATGGCATTACCAGCATTAACAGCATTAACAGCATTAAAATGGCATTACCAGCATTATCAGCATTAACAGCATTAACATGGCATTAACAGCATTAGCATGGCATTAACAGCATTAACATGACATTAACAGCATTAACATGGCATTAACAGCATAAACAGCATTAACAGCATTAACATGGCATTAACAGCATTAGTTTGGCATTAACAGCATTAACATGGCATTACCAGCATTACCAGCATTAACATGGCATTAACATGGCATTAACAGCATTAACATGGCATGAACAGCATTAACAGCATTAACAGCATGAACAGCATTAAAATGGCATTACCAGCGTTACCAGCATTAACAACATTAACATGGCATTAACAGCATTAACAGCATGAACAGCATTAAAATGGCATTACCAGCGTTACCAGCATTAACAGCATTAACATGGCATTAACAGCATTACCATGGCATTAACAGCATTAACAGCATTAACAGCATTAACATGGCATTAACAGCATTAACAGCATAAACATGGCATTAACAGCATTAACAGCATTAGCAGCATTAACAGCATTAACATGGCATTAACAGCATTAACAGCATTAACATGGCATTAACAGCATTAACATGGCATTACCAGCATTACCAGCATTAACAGCATTAACATGGCATTAACAGCATTAACAGCATTAACAGCATTAAAATGGCATTACCAGCATTAACAGCATTAACATGGCATTAACAGCATTAACATGGCATTACCAGCATTACCAGCATTAACAGCATTAACATGGCATTTACAGCATTAACATGGCATTAGCAGCATTAACATGGCATTAACAGCATTAACATGGCATTAACAGCATTAACATGTCATTACCAGCATTACCAGCATTAACAGAATTAACATGGCATTAACAGCATTAACATGGCATTACCAGCATTAACATGGCATTAACAGCATTAACATGGCATTACCAGCATTAACAGCATTAACATGGCATTAACAGCATTAACATGGCATTACCAGCATTAACAGCATTAACATGGCATTAACATGGCATTAACAGCATTAACATAGCATTACCAGCATTAACAGCATTAACATGGCATTAACAGCATTAACATGGCATTACCAGCATTACCAGCATTAACAGCATTAACAGCATTAACATGGCATTAACAGCATTAACAGCATTAACAGCATTAACATGGCATTAACAGCATTAACATGGCATTAACAGCATTAACATGGCATTAACAGCATTACCAGCATTAACATGGCATTACCAGCATTAACATGGCATTAACAGCATTAACATGGCATTACCAGCATTACCAGCATTACCAGCATTAACAGCATTAACATGGCATTAACAGCATTAACATGGCATTACCAGCATTAACAGCATTAACAGCATTAACAGCATTAACAGCATTAACATGGCATTAACAGCATTAACATGGCATTAACAGCATTACCAGCATTAACATGGCATTACCAGCATTAACATGGCATTAACAGCATTAATATGGCTTTACCAGCATTACCAGCATTACCAGCATTAACAGCATTAACATGGCATTAACAGCATTAACATGGCATTACCAGCATTAACAGCATTAACATGGCATTAACAGCATTAACATGGCATTACCAGCATTACCAGCATTAACATGGCATTACCAGCATAAACATGGCATTAACAGCATTAACATGGCATTAACAGCATTAACATGGCATTAACAGCATTAACAGCATTAACAGCATTAACATGGCATTAACAGCATTAACATGGCATTAACAGCATTAACAGCATTAACATGGCATTACCAGCATTAACAGCATTAACATGGCATTAACAGCATTAACATGGCATTACCAGCATTAACAGCATTAACATGGCATTAACAGCATTAACATGGCATTACCAGCATTAACAGCATTAACATGGCATTAACAGCATTAACATGGCATTACCAGCATTAACAGCATTAACATGGCATTAACAGCATTAACATGGCATTACCAGCATTAACAGCATTAACATGGCATTAACAGCATTAACATGGCATTACCAGCATTAACAGCATTAACATGGCATTACCAGCATTAACAGCATTAACATGGTATTAACAGCATTAACAAGTCACCAGTTGATAACCTCAATTAACAATCTGGAATCATTAAAACGTGCAGACTCAAAACAGTTCAGTTGTAAAAATGATAACGATGTTTACAGTGTGCCGTGACCTTCTAAATGGTACTGACCAACTTCAACAATTTGAAGATAAACATTGTATGACCTTTAGACAAACAGAATGACGTCAATAATTCCAAAGTATAACAGGGCATATATATATACAGTGTATAACATGTTTAATTCATATTTCAACAAAATAAATTGATAAGAATAACAGGACGTATATTTCAATAATTTGCTAAGTAATGGAATATAAAAATAGAGTAATAATTTTAATAATTTGCTAGGCATAACCGATGTTTATTTTATAATACGTGAATAATCTTATTAAATGTCCCTTAGAAGTCCCGATATTCTTAGCAATATATTAAACTATATTTTGTTAATTCCCACAAAGACATTGCTAATTATTAATGATTTGTACTCATTCTGTGCTGCCATCTACTTCACACTGTAGGGCGTCCTGTCGAGGTCGAACAACGCCGTCACACTGGATACATATATCATCCGCAGACATGATGTAATTGTATTGTAACACATGGAAATTAAAACTGAATGTAAATAAAACTAAGGTTATGATATTTAGAAAAGGCGGACGGGTCGCAAGCGACGTTAGATTTTATTATGACGGCGGAGAAATAGAGATAGTGAATAGGTTTTCGTTTTTGGGCATTGTTTTTACATCGGGGGGTTCATTTTATGAGGCTCAGAAAACTCTGGCTGGCCAAGCTACTAAATCTATATTCAAAATGGAAAAATATTTACAACGTTTTGTTAATTTATCGCCCAAACATATATGTGATTTATTTGATAAATTGGTAATGCCCGTGCTTTGCTACGGTAGTGAGGTATGGGGCTTCCATTCGGCTGGGGATATTGAACGTGTACACCTTAAGTTTTGTAAAAGATTATTATATGTAAAGACTACAACACAAAATAACTTTGTTTATGGTGAGCTAGGTCGTTTTCCATTAAAAATAACAAGATATTGCAGAATAATAAAATATTGGCTAAGGATAGTATGCGATTCAACAAGCGATCTTGTTAGATCAGTATATAACATCTTGTATCAGGACGCTGAACAGTTTTCTAAACAAAATTGGGCTAGTGCGGTAAAAGAACTTCTTTTTACGAATGGTTTTGGATATGTTTGGTACATGCAGTCTGTAGGTAGTATAGAAGCCTTTATGCATTTATTTAAAATTAGAATTAAAGACATTTTTGTTCAAAATTGGCAGAGGGAATTATCTGGCTCTACTAGAGCAAGATTTTATGTTAATCTTTCTAATAACTTCGAATATAAACTATATCTCGACCTTGTCAACATAAAAAAGTTTCGTATAGCGTTAACAAAATTTAGAGTCTCTTCTCATCGTTTGAGTGTTGAGGTAGGCCGTTGGCACAGACCGAACCCTATTCCATATGCGAATCGTACATGTAGTTGTTGTGGGGTTTTAGAGGACGAGTATCATTTCCTTATGGAGTGTACCTTATATTCTAACATAAGACACATGTATATCAAGAGAAGGTATTTTCATCACCCAAATAGACCAAAGTTCCTGGAATTAATATCGACTACGAGCAAGAGTACATTGAAAAATATTGCCGCTTTCATTTTTAAAGCGAATGAGATACGGAACATTAACTTATTTAATCAGGAGTAACGTCCGCCCTGATGTCGTGAAACCTGCATTTAAGTATGGAAAGTCACTGTTTTACTTTATAATATATTTATGTAATTTAATGCATTGTACCACTACATATATCCTTGTATATGCAATGTATTTATGGCACAAAGACATTTGTGTCTATTGCTGAATAAAGATTATTACATGATGAGTTTATTGATAATTTTGATAGTGAAACCCTATTTTTTATGACAAGTTGGTGAATTCCCTCAACGTTGAGTTTCTCCTAAAGATTCAGCTGCTCAGTTAAAAAAGAAACCATCGCGTATGTTGCGGGATCACGTTTGAAGTACAAAAACAATAATTGGCTGATCTGCGTGATTATTTAAACAAATACGAAAGCAAACGTTAAATAAACAATCAACAATAAATAACAAATGAGAAATGTTTATTAACTAATAAGAAGTAAAAACAAAACTATGTACCGAAACATCTTCTTTTTGAACCCCACTGTAGTCTCCATAGCCGGTACTGTAGTCACAGTAGGCTCCATAACTGTTTGCCTGGTTACTGTTGGGGGAACTGGGTGGATTAGTAGATTAAAATTTACTCGACCTGGCATCTCTCCTCGACAGTTCTTAGGGGGGCTGAGGTTAAAATATATAAAACATTTACATCTGTACGTACAAATAATCACTTGAAATTCATGTGAAATTTTCATAATAAAATGCCACATTCTGCTGACCACATTAAGATCTTATGATTTATTTTTTTATTATCATGAAAAGTATTCAAAATCTGAATTCACGTCAATTTTAAAATATTATTTTTCACTCCGTAGTAAATGTTTTTGTCGGACTCTGTATATTGGTACTTAATATCATTTCCCCCGATTCTGACAGAGACAGCTGCAGTAACAGTCTAATTGAATATTTAAGTTTCCATATATTTTTCAGTTCTTTTAAAATCCGTCGACTCAGATATTAACGTTGACCTCTTTCAAAACGATTTCAAAGATAGTACTTTTCATGGGGGAAAAAACTTCTGTCATCTAAACATGAGGACATGTGACAAAAATATATTTGGTTTCATTATTAAGTCAATGCAATTCATCTAATTCAAAAACTTAATTGAAGTATGTTAGTTATTTGTAATTTGAGTTCTTCAGTCTTGCTTACCAGTAACGAGCTGTGGAATACAGCCGGAAGCTGGAAGTACTGCAATGTCTGTTACCGCTGAAACAGACAAACATCCGTCAAATCAGGTCAATAATGCTTTTGTTTGTAGTATTGTAAAGATTTAACATCATAAAAACAGCTAAGGTCCTTTATGGACTGTGAATTGGGTTTCCTTTTCCTGGACATAGCATTGTTTGAAGCACGGAGGTAGTATAAACGCAAGCACAGGGACCTGTTCGTTTTTAAATGTAATATTTTCGGGTATAAATCCTGCTGGAAAGCAGCAACAGATTTATTTCATACATAAACGAGCACTTCTGATTCAGGTGGTCCAACCGTTTGGATCGCGATAAACGAACAGCTCTGATTCAACTGGTCCAACGGTTTGGGTCGCGATAAACGACAGCGGCCCAGTGTCTGCCTTGAAATAAAGGGAAGATAAAGGTATTCACTTTTCTTTCAAGAACAAAACCTGTAGTATAAACCCTGCGCGTTTTGGGGAAAAGTCAGGGGAAATTATTATCACAAGTCCTTATGAAACGGTCATCTTTTTATTTGTGTTTGCAAACGACTGCCTGCATTGATTTCTATACAGTGGCGTCCAGGAGGATGTCACCCGGCGCACGTGACACCCCCGGCCGTGTCCGTGACCAGAATTTTGTTTTTAAGTAGCGAAATATAAGACCGCGTCGATCGTGTGACACCCCCGGCCCCTTTCCAATTAGACTCGCCTTCATAAGAGTTCACTAGGATTAACACCCTTATCAACGATTTACCTGTACCTCGATGTGAAACGTGAACAATAGACCACAAGTACCAGTATGTAATTCGTCTAATTATAATTAGTGATGTCTATAGTATCTAGATAAAATACTGTGAATAGTTTTGGTATTATTTGTGAAAAAATGGCTACAAAAGTAACCCATTTATTTCCGTAAAAAAAGGATTTCTCGACCATGGGTATCCCGATATTTCATTGACATGTGACAACTCACGTGTCATTAAAAGGGAGGTTATTCATCTGTCGTGAAATTTGGACACCTGTGAGTCCATGAAATAAGTAAACAACAACATTTAAAACAAACAAAAACACACTCATTATTTAATAAATGAATCACTAAAAAGAATACGAATAAGTCAACGTCAAAACAAAGACTGCTATTATATCAACAGGGGTCAATAAAAAGGAGTTATGTGTTAATCGGTGTACTCATTAAAAGTCATACAAGAATAGTCCTTGGTCATTATAAAACCGAGCGGGACAAACTAAACCATGAGAACCTCGTGGATGATGCACGGTTAAGAACGTAACTGCTTTCTATTATAAACTCACCAAGAGACATGGCATTTGAGCGGAGACTGGAGTCACAGAACGCCAAAGGAGTTTTGTTTTTCTTGAAGAAGTAACCTTTCTGGTACCATAGGCACGCAATCTGGCCCCGGAAAGGAGTGTCGCTAGTGAATGACCCTCCGATTTTGACATTTCCATGAGCCTCGATACGTTCCACAAACTGGAGATTGTGGGTTAGGACTTGCTGCAATTCTGCTCCATTGTAATTCACCTACAAGAGTTAACAAAATTCCGCTGGTTATCGTCCTTCTCCAACCATATGCAACAAGCAGTAGTTCCTAGAACGTGGGGTTGGCATTTTCGAAAACCAAGGGTTCTGCTCTCGAAACACAAAACTTCTCAACTAGGTATAGAGAATACACGCGTGAATCGAGAGCGGAGCTCACGTGTTTCCAAGATAGGGAGGAAAAGTTTGTCAGCGAAGAGTGTTTGAAAGCAAATCTAGAAGGTCTCGCTATTTAATACTCAGGTGCACGTGAAGAATGATGGAGGTTGGAAGAAACAAAGGCGGCCGGAATGTATCACAGTCCGTTGGAGAATGAAACCGCCCTGTATGCAGCATCCTCTATATCTAGAGGTGACGCTCACTTACGCTCTCTGTTCCTCTGGAATATGTCAAAGCTAAATTGAAGCCTCAGTGTGTACCACCTTGTGGATGAGACGAGAAGACTTATCTTATCCTTTGATGAACATCAATAGAATCTCGCGGTCACGTAACGGTAAAATATTACAGGCTTTGAAGTCGGGTATCGCTCCTCTGTAATCTTTAAAGGACAGTTGTCAGCCTGGTGATTGGTCAGGTTTTCTAACCTGAGACCAATCAAATAGCTAGCCGCGTGCCTTAAATTTTGCTATGACATATTCCAGGGGTGCAGAGAGCGAAAGTGAGTATGACCCCTGGAGTATCAAGGATGTGTATGCTGATGCTGTCATACAATGCTTAACTTGCTGATAACTTGAGCTTAGTCCCATATCAAAACCGGACATTTGAGAAATTACAGCGAAAACAAAGATTGTATAGACCAGCGAGATTATATCTCCGTTATTAATCAAACGACTTGCATAATGTGCGTACGCCATATTACGTCATACGCTCGCTTTCATAGACCAGGTGATACCAAACCCGCGTGGGTTAGGGGAGAAAAAGGACCGACCGTAACGTCATATGCACGCTTACATAGACCATGTGACACCAAACCCGCGTGGGTTAGGGGAGAAAATGGACCGATCGTAAGAGGACCAAAAGGACATTGAAAAGACCAAAACTGGTCGCTACCATCATTGTAAAACTGTTGCAGCCATCTTCCTATGACTCTGGCTGTTGCGAGGACGTTGAACAGCAACAACAGAACAGCTGATTTCGCGCGGTTTTTCCCGCACAAAAACGAAATATAAAACATAGCTATCATATTATGTGATGCATTTGATTTTAAGAAAATTAATACATGTAATATATAAGTTGAAATGAAATATCATATTTAAATATTTAACGAGCGTAAAACCCCCCACTATTTTCCGAGCGCGTAGCTACACAACTGTAGTAAAAGTGCGCAGATTATGTAACCATACCGTGTAAATAGCAGGAGCAGTTATGCTCTCATAAATGAAACTCCTCATAGGAAGGACAACACGAGTGTTGCCACATACTCCTACTAAAATGGACCAAGTGACGTCACATCCCTACTTATATAACGTTTAACGATCGATGTCATGCTCCTACCAGCATAACACATCTGTTTACGTCACGTCCTACTTACATAGACCATCGGCTGGAGGTAGTGCCACGTGACCCCGATGTATGTCCAAACTCCTGGTGTGAGTTTGACAGGACTGTTTCCGGTTTCGTATTTACCGGAACTGGTGTAGAATGACACGTGAATGTATCCGTTGATACACCGGATGCTCAACCCTTGACCTCCAGGACACGCCCCCTCGTACTCCAGAATGGTCGCCTCGCCGACATCCGTGTCGATGTTTATGTAGAAGAACCACGCCCCCCAGTCGGTACCATCCAGAGCGCCCTGGTCATTAGGAAACTGTATATAACTGGAAGAAGTCCCCCAGAACTGTACGGCCCTGTCAAATGCTGGCCCGGTGTATTGAGGATAGTTTGTATCAAAAGTTGTGTTCCGAATGTAGCCATGCTCTTCAGAACTTCCGATTACTTCATGGTTTTGAGCAGAAAATGTCCAAAATGCATCTGGGACAATCATTGATTCTTTTGAAATGCCTCCGACAACTGCGGCATGGCCCACCTGGACATCTGTTGTTATAATAAAGGTGTTACAAGGAATAAGGGTCAATAATGGTTAGGAAGTATAAAACAAGGGACAGTACACATTATGATAACGGTTTGTATGCGTAAAACAATAAGGAACAATCAAAAGATTTCTTTTTTATACAAGATGAAAATATGTAGCGATCGATGTCTCAGTAAGCATTGTTTGGTTTGCACATATCATACCTTAAAATTCACATTCACTGTCAAAGTTTATTGTGTTAGTATTTCTTCAGCCTCTGACCAAAACTTTCAAACTGTTTCAGGATGTTTTTTTAACAGATTGTACACATTTTTACCAGTCATTTGAATGGTCGGGTATAAATTGACCCACGGTTTTGAAGTCAATCATATTTCCCTCTGGTTTTACCCCCGGTAGTACAATACTAACTAAAGGAAATAAACTCTTAAATCTCCCTACAAATTATTTGTTTTACCAAAACGGAGACACCTTTCAAAGAAAAACATATTTTGTAATATGAAACAATAAAGAAATCTAACAAAAAGATATTGAAATCCTATTTGATTGACAATACAGTGTACATAATCCTGGCCTACGTGAACTTGATGTTGACCTGCAGTTTTCGAGATTTAATTTATTAACGTCAATATGAAGGTTTACGTCCACGATACCTGATAAACAAATGGATTCATGTCTGAAGAAAGCTTAAAGAACAAAAGAAATGATTCAGTTGACGTTTCTGCTACGAAAAAGACTTGTAATGCAAGTCCATGTGTAAGAAAACAGTTTGTGACATTGGGCAGCACCACTAAAATGTGACCATTATTACACGAAGGATTTTTGTTTTACGCTAAAAGATTTTTTTCACAATATAAGAATTACAATAATGAAGTAAGGTTAATATTAACTATTTGCATGCACGTGTTAATGACACGTTTTATTATTAACACATGAGGTGTGAGTAGGAACAGACTAACTGCAAGTGTTACTGCATAACATCCACAGCAAAAACGAATCATATAGGTTACTACAAGCAACAGAACGTATAGGTATCATACATTTAGTAACCAAATTTTTAGATTTGATGACAACAACAAATAATAAGGATCTAGAACTGTCTAATTAAGCAAAATTTCTGAGCCAAAGTAAAAAAAGGAGATTCAATGCTGACCTGTTTAAGCTGAAAGGAATCATTCTCTACACTACCGCTGTAATTTTATCATGTATGCATGGTCGGAGAGTTCTTTTTTTGTATATATATATGCACTGTACTGATAAACCGCAAGGTTTAAGGTAATAAAGAATGAATGAAGGAATGAATGACATTATTATTAGAGTTACCAGTAACAAACCAATAAGTGTAATTAAAGAAGTCGAATTATAAACAGGAACAGATGACATCGGATAACTCACCCCTACCGAACACCACCAGTAGTAGTAAATTCAAAGCGAACATGTTGCAGCTTCTAATTTTCTGTTATCAAAGTCACATCTGAATTCTGTTAGAACGTTGTCTATATTTGGACGTTCCTTGAGATTCCGAGTTTACGTATAAAATGATATCTGTTTATAAGTACAAGGCTGTTCCGAAATGTAAATTACTAAATGGATAAATTGATTTTGTATTATAAAGAAAAAAAATTGGTACATATCGATGTTCCTAAATACACATCACTTAATGGATGAATGTATTGTGTATGTTAATGTCTATTGTATGATACATTTGTAGGTCGGTATAGATACATACAGACGTTACTCTATACCGAAGTGACCACCGTGGATGACCAACTCCCCTACTCGAGTTTAGAATTGACACAGGTAAAGCTTGGATCAGCGCTTTTATCGTCAACAAACTATCATATTAACACCAGTAAAACAAATCGAATTTGAATATTTGACTTGACCTGACGATATTACTCGTGGTGTTTTAACCGGTGACTGTATGTACATGTATTATGTAGATCCGTTCGATAGCACTACACAACTATCAAACTTACTTAGTGAATTTGAAAGGTTGATTACCGCTAAACATTATTTCTTAAAGACAGTCACTGAACCTCTATTGACAAATGGAAATTCAGTATACTTTTGTAGGTAGAGACTGTGTACTCTGATACTCCTGTATATAGCGCAAAACTGACCCTCTCTCTGGACTTACAGTGGTCAATGACTGACCATATTTACGAATATCTTGCATTAAAATGAAAAATAGTTTAGTAGAGCCAGTCCTGTTACATTGTGACACTCAAACATGTTCCATATAAAAATATTCCTGAAAAGAGCATCCTGCTTGTTAGTACTTAAATTCTAAAGTTACAATTAAAGATTGAAATGCTTGGCGAAAGCTTCCCATATCTCCAAGAAGGTCCAGAATTAGATATGTTTATTATAGATACCTGTCCTTTGAAGATTACAAAGGAGAGACTTTTAACCGTTACGTGACCGCGATATTCTTTTGATGTACATCAAAGGCTCGAACTAGTCTTCTTGTCTCGTCAACAAGGTGGCACACACTGAGCAATTTTGCTAAGACATATTCCAGGGCATCCTCGATATCCAGGGGTTACGCATACTTTCGCTACATCAAAGAACCAAACTAGTCTTCTCCTCTCATCCACAAGGTATTGCACACTGTACCTTCAATTTTGCTATAACATATTCTAGGGGTGTAGAAAGCGAAAGTGAGCGTAACCCCTGGGTATCGAGGATGGTTCCAGGGGTGAAGAGAGAGAAAGTGAGCGTAACCCTGGATATCGAGGATGGTTCCAGGGGTGTAGAGAGGAAAGTGAGTGTAACCCCTAGATATCAAGGATGATTACAGGGGTGTAGAGAGGAGAGTGAGCGTAACCCCTAGATATCAAGGATGGTTCCAGGGGTGTAGAGAGGAAAGTGAACGTAACCCCATGATATCGAGGATGATTACAGGGGTGTAGAGAGAGAAAGTGAGCGTAACCCCTGGGTATCGAGGATGGTTCCAGGGGTGTAGAGAGGAAAGTGAGCGTAACCCCTAGATATCGAGGATGGTTCCAGGGGTGTAGAGACGACAGTAAGCGTAACCCCATAATATCAAGGATGATTATAGGGGAGTAGAGAGGAAAGTAAGCGTAACCCCATGATATCGAGGATGATTACAGGGGTGAAGAGAGCGAAAGTGAGCGTAACCCCTGGATATCGAGGATGGTTCCAGGGGTGTAGAGAGGACAGTAAGCGTAACCCCATAATATCAAGGATGATTATAGGGGTGTAGAGAGGAAAGTAAGCGTAACCCCATGATATCGAGGATGATTACAGGGGTGTACAGAGGAGAGTGAGCGTAACCCCTAGATATCGAGGATGATTACAGGGGGGTAGAGAGCGAAAGTGAGCGTAACCCCTGGATATCGAGGATGATTACAGGGGTGTAGAGAGGAAAGTGAGTGTAACCCCTAGATATCGAGGATGATTACAGAGGTGTAGAGAGGAGAGTGAGCGTAACCCCTAGATATCGAGGATGATTACAGGGGTGTAGAGAGGAAAGTGAGCGTAACCCCTAGATATCGAGGATGATTACAGGGGTGTAGAGAGGAAAGTGAGCGTAACCCCTAGATATCGAGGATGATTACAGGGGTGTAGAGAGGAAAGTGAGCGTAACCCCTAGATATCGAGGATGATTACAGGGGTGTAGAGAGGAAAGTGAGCGTAACCCCTAGATATCGAGGATGATTACAGGGGTGTAGAGAGGAAAGTGAGCGTAACCCCTAGATATCGAGGATGATTACAGGGGTGTAGAGAGGAAAGTGAGCGTAACCCCTAGATATCGAGGATGATTACAGGGGTGTAGAGAGGAAAGTGAGCGTAACCCCTAGATATCGAGGATGATTACAGGGGTGTAGAGAGGAAAGTGAGCGTAACCCCTAGATATCGAGGATGATTACAGGGGTGTAGAGAGGAAAGTGAGCGTAACCCCTAGATATCGAGGATGATTACAGGGGTGTAGAGAGGAAAGTGAGCGTAACCCCTAGATATCGAGGATGATTACAGGGGTGTAGAGAGGAAAGTGAGCGTAACCCCTAGATATCGAGGATGATTACAGGGGTGTAGAGAGGAAAGTGAGCGTAACCCCTAGATATCGAGGATGATTACAGGGGTGTAGAGAGGAAAGTGAGCGTAACCCCTAGATATCGAGGATGATTACAGGGGTGTAGAGAGGAAAGTGAGCGTAACCCCTAGATATCGAGGATGATTACAGGGGTGTAGAGAGGAAAGTGAGCGTAACCCCTAGATATCGAGGATGATTACAGGGGTGTAGAGAGGAAAGTGAGCGTAACCCCTAGATATCGAGGATGATTACAGGGGTGTAGAGAGGAAAGTGAGCGTAACCCCTAGATATCGAGGATGATTACAGGGGTGTAGAGAGGAAAGTGAGCGTAACCCCTAGATATCGAGGATGATTACAGGGGTGTAGAGAGGAAAGTGAGCGTAACCCCTAGATATCGAGGATGATTACAGGGGTGTAGAGAGGAAAGTGAGCGTAACCCCTAGATATCGAGGATGATTACAGGGGTGTAGAGAGGAAAGTGAGCGTAACCCCTAGATATCGAGGATGATTACAGGGGTGTAGAGAGGAAAGTGAGCGTAACCCCTAGATATCGAGGATGATTACAGGGGTGTAGAGAGGAAAGTGAGCGTAACCCCTAGATATCGAGGATGATTACAGGGGTGTAGAGAGGAAAGTGAGCGTAACCCCTAGATATCGAGGATGATTACAGGGGTGTAGAGAGGAAAGTGAGCGTAACCCCTAGATATCGAGGATGATTACAGGGGTGTAGAGAGGAAAGTGAGCGTAACCCCTAGATATCGAGGATGATTACAGGGGTGTAGAGAGGAAAGTGAGCGTAACCCCTAGATATCGAGGATGATTACAGGGGTGTAGAGAGGAAAGTGAGCGTAACCCCTAGATATCGAGGATGATTACAGGGGTGTAGAGAGGAAAGTGAGCGTAACCCCTAGATATCGAGGATGATTACAGGGGTGTAGAGAGGAAAGTGAGCGTAACCCCTAGATATCGAGGATGATTACAGGGGTGTAGAGAGGAAAGTGAGCGTAACCCCTAGATATCGAGGATGATTACAGGGGTGTAGAGAGGAAAGTGAGCGTAACCCCTAGATATCGAGGATGATTACAGGGGTGTAGAGAGGAAAGTGAGCGTGACCCCTAGATATCGAGGATGATTACAGGGGTGTAGAGAGGAAAGAGAGCGTGACCCCTAGATATCGAGGATGATTACAGGGGGGTAAAGAGGAAAGTGAGCGTAACCCCTAGATCTCGAGGATGCTTACAGGGGTGTAGAGATGAAAGTGAGCGTGACCCCTAGATATCGAGGATGATTACAGGGGTGAAGAGAGGAAAGTGAGCGTAACCCCTAGATCTCGAGGATGCTTACAGGGGTGTAGAGATGAAAGTGAGCGTGACCCCTAGATATCGAGGATGATTACAGGGGTGTAGAGAGGAAAGTGAGCGTAACCCCTAGATATCGAGGATGTATATTGGCGGGAAATCCTCGATACGACTGTGTCGGGCAGGCACTTTGACTGATGGAAACGCTCTTAGGCGAAACTCGCATTATCGATCCAGAAACTATACTAATTATGCATAGACAAACTCTTCTGTTAAATGATATCAAAAATAATACAGGGAATCAATCCCGGCTGATCAGTACGGCGGTGATGGTCTTTGGTCAACAGTCCGTTTTAATGTGCGGACAGAGTTAAAATGTGTCTTTATACCACATACTTCCAACTTGTAAATATTAACGGGAAAGTCGATAACGTATAGCGATCTGTTTGTTTTATACTTAATACCTAGCACCACTCTCCTAAATAAACACAGGATGGTCATGAAGAGTGTAACAGGGCACTCGGCACAACTCGGCAGATTCCGTACCATTAAGCGTAGAAATATACTTGCTGGACCTCGACTCGAGCACAACATTGCGTCGAATCCCATGGGTGGTGCACGTGTTTCTTTTCTCTCCTGCTTCTTCTTTTCTTTTTGATACGAAACAAACCGAATGGCATATTTCTTTAAAAAATGTACAGTCTACTGAATGTCTCCGCTACGTCGTAAAGCGAGACGCCGAGAGAGAAAGTTTGTTGTTTAGGGTTGATGTACTAAGAACATATTTAGGAGATATGTTTATTTTTGCGTTGGTTAATTTGTGAGTAAGTACGATAACATATTCTACTATCTCATTGTTTTACGACAAACAAACGAGGAACACTAAGCGATCTGTATTCTGCTCGCGCGTAAAAAGCGTCTCGAAAATACCATCGGATCGACCTCTGGCGGAAGTAGGTGTTCTCGAAACCTTCACGATTTACAGTAAAAAAAACCACTCATAGCTAAGCAGATAGTATAAAACGGTCCTTACAACATATATACAATATATACAACCAACGCTCTTGCATAATCGTAGTCCCAATGCTTGAAATAAGGGTTGGCAAGCTCGCCAATTTTGAAAAGGAGAGAGAGAAAATGTAACGGCCACACTGGGGTTCGAACCTGGGACCCTCCGAACTTTAGACGGACGCTCTACCAATTGAGCTATGAAAGCAGTTCAGTTCCGCTACAGTTCCAACACCAAAAACACGTCGTTCCGTATTTTACTGAACATTGATCATCAAAGGGACGTGACTCCTTCAGTTCATACGCAATAATAGTCATTGCGTCACAATCACTATGACGTCATAGTTACATTCTTGAGGGCGTCGTTGCATGTTTATCTACGTGCAACTCTATTTTTATCGAATACTCGTTCCCAGCGACGAAACCATGACAGTTTTGAGGCAGTGAGCGAGTTTTACTGGGGCGTTGGGGGGTTAGTGTAAGGGGATAAAGTCTGGTTTTTATTTAGTTGTAGCAATTGAATAGAGTAAAAATTTCTTATAAATAACCGTTGCTAGGCACACAAAGTTGCATGGTCAATTTCTCTAGGATAATAGGTCGAATAGCATGTGGAAAACTGTTGTAAGTGATAAAAGTAAGGCTACCTTGATGGCGCAGAAAAGCACGAAACCCAAGCCGAAAAAAGCTTACAACGCGACCATGAGGAGACTGAGCCAGTTCGACGGCCCAAACGTATCCAACACAGCCCGTCTATCGCTGGCAGAGGATCTCATCCCGAAGGTTGTCGACATGAGCTTATTAGTGGGACCCGTCTACGATTCGACCAGGAGTAGGCAGGGCGTCATCAAGGAACAGCTCGGGGACATCACACAGAGGCTCCATAAGGTAACACGCACACGTGAAGGGGCTCACAGTTATTTTTTGTATTTCATATGAAATAATTTATAATCATTCATCCCCTGTGGTGTCATCCATTGCTGTTTGCGTACTATATCCAACAGAATTCATAGGTATCACCTGCTACCTGTAGCTGTCCAATAAGTACTCAAAAGAATACCCTTAATGGACGGCTACAGGTAACATATTGGACAGATAAAGGTAAGCTTTTGAATGAGCAGATAATTATATTATACAATGGAAAACATAGTATTAGAATAAATATGAAAATAAATATTTATTTATTATAGATTTCCCATGCATTATATTTTTTCCTTAAAAGAAGGTTTGAATCATAGAACACTTTTTTTTACATGAAACATCCATATCGATGCATACCTATCCAAACACTTGACTGGGAGACACATTCCCAGCATTAATTGTAATTTCCTTTGAATTCGTCATTTTGGCAATAACACTTTGGAGTTGAGGGCAGTTGAAATCTTTCCCCCACAATTTATGTGCACAACATTTCTTTCGTATCATCCCTGGAGATATTTGAGTATAATCCCAGATATATAGCTGTGATATATCTTTGATGAAAATATTTTGAAGGTGGTGTTGAAATCTTGAATTTTCTCACTTTAATTGTGTGTTTAATTCTTTCATTTCATTCTCTCACAGATATAATCCCAGAAATATACGGTTAATTCTTTCTTATTTAAATTCAATCCATTTCAATACTGAACGCTGATGCTCAAAATGTACTGCACATGGACTGTGTTGGGAACGCACCTTCACTGTTTGACGACATTATACAAATGAGACTAAATTCTACTCGGGCCTGTAATGCATTCACTTGTACAAGAGCATGCAAAGTATGCTAAAGAACACCACTGTCCTCTATTGTATCATACTGAACAGATATTGGAACTGTCCAATATTACACAAAGAGGGTGTGTGTTTTAAGTACGATATAAGCCTCAAACTTCTTCTTTGTTTTACGGGGGCTCCATCAATGTTGATGTTTATGCCCTCGGGGGTCCTATTGCAGAGGCGTAAAAAAGGGGGCTATTTACAGTGATTAGTTCTTTTGTTTTTTTTGGTGATTTTTTGTGCAAGGTTTAGATAAAAGATAAAAGCTGGCGTATGCTTTTTAGTGTGTGATGAGGGCTTCAAGGGCTGCATGGGGTAAGTGCGCCTTGAAGTCCTCTAGTGTTGTGCATTGTACTGCTGCTATGGGAATGAGATTCCATTGTGTTATTGCAATTGTGTGTGGAAAGAATGAATATTTGTAGGTGTCCTTTGTAACAGATATGTGTGCGTGAGGGTGTGTATGTCTGGTTCGAGGGTCTACGGGTGTGAGACGGCTGTCCCAGACTGCCAAATATTTTACATAATAGACAGTTTCCGGCTTATGTCCTTTACTTAAACCAGAGACGTATATTATGCGTCTCTGCTTAAACCTGGGTTAGTTCAACTTTAGTAGAATTTTGTAGTACATATGAGAGTTGACGCCACTTGGGTTTATAGTCTAGATCATCCTAGATACTCCAGGAGTTACTCTCACTGATTACGCTTTCTGCAGATAGCGTAACCCTTGGAGTATAGTACTATATGTCGACAGTCGGTGGCTCGGTTGGTAGAGCACCCGTCTAGAGTTCGGAGGGTCCCGGGTTTGAACCCCGGTCTAGGCGTGCATTTTTGTATCTTCTCACTAATTTGCGCCATAGGAGATTTAGCGCCATAGGTGCGCCATAGGATTTTTGCACGCCATAGCAAAATGTTTTATCCACGAAATATTTCGATTATTCCTCATTTAACATGTTTTGGTAAAGTATCATTTAAAAAAATGTGTACTTTGTTAGAAAATCGATCTTTATTACGAAGCACTTTTACACTAATTTGCGCCATACGTGTTTTTTCACGCCATAGCTAAATATAAGAATTATTTTCAGCAAATAACTGTGTTTTTCCTTTGGTGTATGCAATAAACAGGTTGTGGTAAAGTTTCATTCTTAAAAAATGTTTATTTTGTTAGGAAATCGACAAAATATTTCTTCGCGATTCAGAAGTCAATTTCAAGGGAAGTAACTCGTAAATTTGCAAAATACGACATAGCAATCAATAAGACATGACTAGTACTTGAGTGGAAAAAAAGAATTTATTTATGCATGTAAACATGGAATAAATTACAATTTAAAATAGTAAGACATGATTTTTTTTTATATTAATTTTAGAATTTATTTACAACAGTTTATTTATTACATCTACTTAAATATCAATCACAGAAACATTAGAGAGAATAACACATTTTTAAATATTATAAATATATATTAATTTTATTTAATGAACAGATTAATTAATAACATATGTACAACACAATTATAATCTTTATTGAACATTATTGAACATTATTGCACACAATGTTATACATTGTCCACATGTACATCCACAGTCTATCTAATAGTCACACACTTAAAGTACACAGGTTTGATAACATTGTCTCTTAATAAATATTACCACTGGCTGCAATATTAATGTTCCCATCGTCAAGGCGGTACAGTTTCATCCCAGCTCGTAGGTACTTCGGTACATCTAGGGTAATGATGTCCTAGTACTTGTTTCTAAATACTATTTGGGTTAGGCACTGTCTTCGTTTGTGGGTTTTTAACTCTACTGTATTTTTAAATCTTAAATCTATATCTCCATCGAAATATTTTGTGGATATAACACTTACATTTTGCTATGGCGTGCAAAATCTCCTATGGCGCACCTAGCTATGGCGCTAAATCTCCTATGGCGCAAATTAGTGTGACCGTCTGTTACATACATTTTGCAGACGTTATAAAAAATATTTTTCAGTGTTTTTCTTGATTCCACGATCTATTAAAAAAAATATCTTACGAAAATACGGGGGCTCCATCAATGTTGACGTTTATGCCCTCGGGGGTCCTATTGCAGAGGCGTGAAAAAGGGGGTTATTTACATTGATTAGTTGTTGTTTTTTGTGCAAGGTATAGATACAATTGCAAGCTGGGGTATGTTTTTTAGAGTGTGGTGAGGGCTTCAAGGGCTGCATAGGGTAAGTGTGCCTTGAAGTCCTCTAGTGTTGTGCATTGTACTGCTGCTATGGGAAGGAGATTCCATTGTGTTATTGTGTGTGGAAAGAATGAATATTTGTAGGTGTCCTTTGTAACGGATATGTGTTTGTATGCGTAATGTTCATTATCAAAAATCTCGAAACCGAGCCCCTGTGCCAAAGATAGCCACTCGCTTCTCTCCATCCCCGTAAAAAACCCACCAACAACATCTGGTGGCTATTGGGAGCAACTCTGAGTGATTATATATATATATTATTAAGCCACAGATTTTATGTTTTTATTCATTACTAATCTATTTCTACCACCAGACTCTACACCAGTATGACGTCATGGATGAAGTAGAGCGCAGTCCTCCGGTAAGTTAAGAGCGCCAATGATTTCAGCTCGAACAAAGCGTTCACAGGCTCTTGCCTGTTGTGCCTCTAATGGTTCTTACAATTAGGTCAAATACGTGATTGTTTCATTTGGAGATGTTGTAATTCAAATGACCATGACAGTTTTAGAGTCTCTAACATGTACACAGTCTATCTGACAACATGTACAAAGTCTATCTGACAACATGTACAAAGTCTATCTGACAACATGTACAAAGTCTATCTGACAACATGTACAAAGTCTATCTGACAACATGTACAAAGTCTATCTGACAACATGTACAAAGTCTATCTGACAACATGTACAAAGTCTATCTGACAACATGTACAAAGTCTATCTGACAACATGTACAAAGTCTATCTGACAACATGTACAAAGTCTATCTGACAACATGTACAAAGTCTATCTGACAACATGTACAAAGTCTATCTGACAACATGTACAAAGTCTATCTGACAACATGTACAAAGTCTATCTGACAACATGTACAAAGTCTATCTGACAACATGTACAAAGTCTATCTGACAACATGTACAAAGTCTATCTGACAACATGTACAAAGTCTATCTGACAACATGTACAAAGTCTATCTGACAACATGTACAAAGTCTATCTGACAACATGTACAAAGTCTATCTGACAACATGTACAAAGTCTATCTGACAACATGTACAAAGTCTATCTGACAACATGTACAAAGTCTATCTGACAACATGTACAAAGTCTATCTGACAACATGTACAAAGTCTATCTGACAACATGTACAAAGTCTATCTGACAACATGTACAAAGTCTATCTGACAACATGTACAAAGTCTATCTGACAACATGTACAAAGTCTATCTGACAACATGTACAAAGTCTATCTGACAACATGTACAAAGTCTATCTGACAACATGTACAAAGTCTATCTGACAACATGTACAAAGTCTATCTGACAACATGTACAAAGTCTATCTGACAACATGTACAAAGTCTATCTGACAACATGTACAAAGTCTATCTGACAACATGTACAAAGTCTATCTGACAACATGTACAAAGTCTATCTGACAACATGTACAAAGTCTATCTGACAACATGTACAAAGTCTATCTGACAACATGTACACAGTCTATCTGACAACATGTACAAAGTCTATCTGACAACATGTACAAAGTCTATCTGACAACATGTACAAAGTCTATCTGACAACATGTACAAAGTCTATCTGACAACATGTACAAAGTCTATCTGACAACATGTACAAAGTCTATCTGACAACATGTACAAAGTCTATCTGACAACATGTACAAAGTCTATCTGACAACATGTACAAAGTCTATCTGACAACATGTACAAAGTCTATCTGACAACATGTACAAAGTCTATCTGACAACATGTACAAAGTCTATCTGACAACATGTACAAAGTCTATCTGACAACATGTACAAAGTCTATCTGACAACATGTACAAAGTCTATCTGACAACATGTACAAAGTCTATCTGACAACATGTACAAAGTCTATCTGACAACATGTACAAAGTCTATCTGACAACATGTACAAAGTCTATCTGACAACATGTACAAAGTCTATCTGACAACATGTACAAAGTCTATCTGACAACATGTACAAAGTCTATCTGACAACATGTACAAAGTCTATCTGACAACATGTACAAAGTCTATCTGACAACATGTACAAAGTCTATCTGACAACATGTACAAAGTCTATCTGACAACATGTACAAAGTCTATCTGACAACATGTACAAAGTCTATCTGACAACATGTACAAAGTCTATCTGACAACATGTACAAAGTCTATCTGACAACATGTACAAAGTCTATCTGACAACATGTACAAAGTCTATCTGACAACATATACAAAGTCTATCTGATAACATGTACAAAGTCTATCTGACAACATGTACAAAGTCTATCTGACAACATGTACAAAGTCTATCTGACAACATGTACAAAGTCTATCTGACAACATGTACAAAGTCTATCTGACAACATGTACAAAGTCTATCTGACAACATGTACAAAGTCTATCTGACAACATGTACAAAGTCTATCTGACAACATGTACAAAGTCTATCTGACAACATGTACAAAGTCTATCTGACAACATGTACAAAGTCTATCTGACAACATGTACAAAGTCTATCTGACAACATGTACAAAGTCTATCTGACAACATGTACAAAGTCTATCTGACAACATGTACAAAGTCTATCTGACAACATGTACAAAGTCTATCTGACAACATGTACAAAGTCTATCTGACAACATGTACAAAGTCTATCTGACAACATGTACAAAGTCTATCTGACAACATGTACAAAGTCTATCTGACAACATGTACAAAGTCTATCTGACAACATGTACAAAGTCTATCTGACAACATGTACAAAGTCTATCTGACAACATGTACACAGTCTATCTGACAACATGTACACAGTATTTCTGACAACATGTACACAATCTCTGACAACATGTACAAAGTCTATCTGACAACATGTACACAGTCTATCTGACAACATATACAAAGTCTATCTGACAACATGTACAAAGTCTATCTGACAACATGTACACAGTCTATCTGACAACATGTACAAAGTCTATCTGACAACATGTACAAAGTCTATCTGACAACATGTACACAGTCTATCTGACAACATGTACACAGTCTATCTGACAACATGTACACAATCTCTGACAACATGTTCAAAGTCTATCTGACAACATGTACAAAGTCTATCTGACAACATATACACATTGTTTGCAATAATTCTTTCACGTGTATTGACGTTTTCGACTGTTGACCACAATCCTATAATCTGTTGCAGCGGCTGGAAATCTTGGAAAATCTCACCAGGAATATTGACAACATCGACCGAGAGGAGGCAAGTATTCTGTGTTACATATATACTATATATGTATAGTAGGTCTATGTGTGGTTTATTGAATTTAAGCTGTGTTTTCATCCGTATTTATATTGTATCTGATTTCCAGTATTGATGCATAATGCACCTATCGCATCTTATTTTGTCAAAGTATGACAAAGAGCAGTTACATATAAACTAAGAGAAGTAGCTTCTGCATTCCTGTTTATGTATTGATGTTGGTTTTTAATGGATCCGATTTTATAATGTTGCTCCAAGTTTTTCAAACAATAAAATGATAAGATTAAATTTGCTTTCAATTTATACATGACCTTTGAACTATAATATGTAACCTTTGACCTTTATCAGTTGAAAGGTCATCTAGAAGGCTTCATGACCGGGTATAGGGATTTGACCTCTAATTTTGAGGAGAGCAACAAGGAGAGAGAAGAGGTAAGTCCTGGTATAATTTATAAACAGAAATTGAATAAAATTGATATGAATTGTTTAAGGAAAATGATATTGACTAAAATCTACTTTTCATAAACGGTTGTAATTGTAAATAGGGGTACTTGTAGAAAAAGTGCCCTAGGTCAAACTTGACTTCTAGCTGAATCTTAAACTAACCAATAACGTTCAGAATAAAATGTTATATTATTTTTTTCAGCTTCTTATGCAGGTTGCAGATGTAAGTACATATTAGATACCAGTGACACATGTAACCCTACATAGGAATGCTTATGAATATTTATAGATTATCTGCAAATTTCATGCTCTCTTCATTACTGTTTCCTTTCTTCTACCATACCTACCTATGTATTTTATTTTTTATTTTTGGTTCATCACATAAAATGGTCAGTATCATCACAAACTGTTAATTTAAACAATCTATGTGTATCAATAACTGTATGTTGTAGTACTTCTTTAATGTAATTTAATTACAAGGGAGATGGCTTTATATAAGTTTCAAAATCTCGTTGCCGGATCCTATTAATATTTCTATTAACCTGTGTACTTATTATATATGATATATGAAATAAATATTTTCTAAACCAGTATCCATGCAATAAATATATTTCAAAAATGTATTCATAAATCATTGATATTTCATAGTTACTAAAATTCTTTGATAATCATTAATGTTCATGTTTATATATATGTATGTTATTTTGATCCATGTAATTATTTGTAGAAAATTATCAATAATAGATAATATTCTTTTTGGTATATATAAGTTTATCAATTCACGTTGAAAGCTTTTTCATCGATAGTCATCAGTATATTATAAGGATTCATGTTGATAAAAATGTTTAAACAGTCATGAATATTTATGTTCATAAAAAGTGGTTTATATATAAGTACTCAAAAATAGTCATTTTTTTTCAGTGGATGACAACTGATCACACCGATTTGGTGAGTTTTCCTTAAAAAAATATTTAGTAAAAATAATTTAAGTCCCCAAATTTTTCAAAATCTTATTTTATTAAATGACATACCATAGCATATTTAAATACCAATGAATTTTCATGCTTGAAAAGTTGTGTAAAAAACTAAACTGCTGTCATTATCAGTTTCGTTTATTAGTTATTATTCCATCTAATAAAGTTATAATATTGTTGTTATCTATTTGTTATTATTATCATTTTTAATTTAACATGAATTTTGATTCTAATTGTGATTGAGGTATGTTTTTTTCTGTAACAGGACGATTTAAAAATGTCATTCGATGAGAACGAGGCTTCAGAGATCAAGTAAGTACATGTATTGATAGTGTAACGTTTTTCCTGAGTGTTTCTCATAATGCTACCAATGTCTTGGTCAGGTTGTTAGTAAAGATTGAGGAAAGCATCTGAATGGTGTGTATCTTTTAAAAAACATATAAAGAGAGATTTGAAATAAAGATGGAAGGATAACTTAGTTAACTTGATGACATATTATAAGATAATGCACAAATCATAGGTATGAAGTTTAAGGGGGGATAACTCTGACACAAGTGGTAGGTATATTGTTTAAAGTAGACTATAACTATAACTCACACCATACAGATTAAATTTATTGTAGCATTTAACCTCGACTCTTACCATGATCACATGTATGATGTTTAAGGTAGCATATAACCTTAACTCTTACCCTGATCACATGTATGATGTGTAAGGTAGCATATAACCTTAACTCCTACCCTGATCACATGTATGATGTTTAAGGTAGCATATAACCTAAACTCTTACCCTGATCACATGTATGATGTTTAAGGTAGCATATACCTTAACTCTTACCCTGATCACATGTATGATGTTTAAGGTAGCATATACCTTAACTCTTACCCTGATCACATGTATGATGTGTCAGGTAGCATATAACCTTAACTCCTACCCTGATCACATGTGTGATGTTTAAGGTAGCATATAACCTAAACTCTTACCCTGATCACATGAATGATGTTTAAGGTAGCATATAACCTAAACTCTTACCCTGATCACATGTATGATGTGTAAGGGAGCGTATAACCTTAACGCTTACCCTGATCACATGTATGATGTGTAAGGTAGCGTATAACCTTAACTCTAACCCTGATCACATGTATGATGTGTAAGGTAGCATATAACCTTAACTCTTACCCTTGTCACATACATGTATGATGTGTAAGGTAGCGTATAACATTAGCTCTAACCCTGATCACATGTATGATGTGTAAGGTAGTGTATAACCTTTACTTTTACCCTTATTACATGTATGATGTGTAAGGTAGCGTATAACCTTAACGCTTACCCTGATCACATGTATGATGTGTAAGGTAGCGAATAACCTTAACTCTAACCCTGAACACATGTATGATGTGTAAGGTAGCGTATAACCTTAACTTTTACCCTGATTACATGTATGATGTGTAAGGTAGCATATAACCTTAACTCTTACCCTGATTACATGTATGATGTGTAAGGTAGCATATAACCTTAACTCTTACCCTGATTACATGTATGATGTGTAAGGTAGCATATAACCTTAACTCTTACCCTGATTACATGTATGATGTGTAAGGTAGCATATAACCTTAACTCTTACCCTTGTCACATACATGTATGATGTGTAAGGTAGCGTATAACCTTAACTTTTACCCTGATCACATGTATGATGTTTAAGGTAGCATATAACCTTAACTCTAACCCTAATTACATGTATGATGTGTAAGGTAGCATATAACCTTAACTCTTACCCTGATTACATGTATGATGTGTAAGGTAGCGTATAACATTAGCTCTAACCCTGATCACATGTATGATGTGTAAGGTAGCGTATAACCTTTACTTTTACCCTTATTACATGTATGATGTGTAAGGTAGCGTATAACCTTAACGCTAACCCTTATCACATGTATGATGTGTAAGGTAGCATATAACCTTAACTCTTACCCTGATTACATGTTTGATGTGTAAGGTAGCGTATAACATTAACTCTAACCCTAATTACATGTATGATGTGTAAGGTAGCATATAACCTTAACTCTTACCCTGATTACATGTATGATGTGTAAGGTAGCGTATAACATTAACTCTAACCCTGATCACATGTATGATGTGTAAGGTAGCGTATAACCTTTACTTTTACCCTTATTACATGTATGATGTGTAAGGTAGCGTATAACCTTAACTCTTACCCTGATCACATGTATGATGTGTAAGGTAGCATATAACCTTAACTCTTACCCTGATTACATGTATGATGTGTAAGGTAGCATATAACCTTAACTCTTACCCTTGTCACATACATGTATGATGTGTAAGGTAGCGTATAACCTTAACTCTTACCCTGATCACATGTATGATGTGTAAGGTAGCATATAACCTTAACTCTTACCCTGATTACATGTATGATGTGTAAGGTAGCATATAACCTTAACTCTTACCCTTGTCACATACATGTATGATGTGTAAGGTAGCATATAACCTTAACTCTTACCCTGATTACATGTATGATGTGTAAGGTAGCGTATAACCTTAACTCTTACCCTTGTCACATACATGTATGATGTGTAAGGTAGCATATAACCTTAACTCTTACCCTGATTACATGTATGATGTGTAAGGTAGCATATAACCTTAACTCTTACCCTTGTCACATACATGTATGATGTGTAAGGTAGCATATAACCTTAAGTCTTACCCTGGTAACTTGTATGATGTGTAAGGTAGCGTATAACCTTAACTCTTACCCTTGTCACATACATGTATGATGTGTAAGGTAGCGTATAACCTTAAGTCTTACCCTGATTACTTGCATGATGTGTAAGGTAGCGTATATTCTTTACTTTTACCCTGATCTTTATCTTTAGCTTTAAAACAAATCATAGGTTGAAGAATACAGGTACAAAGATTATATGTAACCTTAACACAAATTATGGGCATGATAAATAAGGGAGATTACTCTTACTAAGTCCCAGATATAATATGTAAAGTAGCTTTTATCCTTACTCTAATGTTTTACACTTGTCTGAATGTGTAAACTAAAAACATATGTTGGTCGGTTGTAAAAGGTTTAATGTCATATTAATAGTTAAGGTCATTTAAGGACGTGCCTCCATGTGTGTTGTGTATATGGCATGCGTGAATGTATGCCGGAGACAGGGTATGTTGGTGTATTTGCATCATTGTGATAGCGTGGATATAATGCCGACTTTATAGTGCTATCTCACTGAAATATCATACTGAAGATGTCCAGCACAGCATTCCGCCCAGGCACACACTGACAACGGGTAAACTAGTTGTTGCCATTACCCTAAATGATGAACAATAAGCAGAGAATAACAACTATCATTTTTAAGGACTTGGGTATGTCCCGGCCTGGGGAGAGACCCCATTGCCCTCCACAATGTAAGATTAATATTTGATATACCAGGTATATATTTATTATCTTTTTTTGTACATCTGTGGACAGCTGCTTGTTTTACTACTCTAAAGATTTAATGTAAGATTAATATTTGATATATATATTTATTATCTTTTTTGTACATCTATGGATGCAGTTGCTGGTTTTATTACTCTAAAGATTTACAGTGGAACCCAACAATAATTATAAACATTTGTATAATCGTTTTGTTTACAGTTCAGAGTATATCAATACTGTGGCTGACCTAGAAAAGTTAAAGTCGCTCAAAGAGGAAATCGGAAAATGTGACTTCAACGGCAAAAACACAAAGTTTCTTGAACAGTAAGTTTCTACCATTTCTTATTAATATTTGAATATGGATTTTATGATAGACTTAAATTCATACCAATATTCATTTAGTATTGCTTGAGGCCATGGAGGTGCACAGTTTCAGCTGTTATCTTTTTGGCTAAAGGACAGTAAGGAACATTGTAACATTATACAAATTTGAACTACATTTTACCAATACTTTGATCCTGTTTTTATCCTGTTCTTGTTTTTCAGGGAGAAGAAGCGTCTAGAGAAAAGTGTGATGGGGGGCCTTGCTGAAATGAAGCAAAGTAAGTCTATGTGTTTGTTTCATACTTACATGTGTACATTGCTTATAGAATTTCATCTCAATTGGTTTTCTCATAGTTTTACATCTGCATGTCATCTTCCACTTGGAGCAGGGTGACATTGCTATGAGACAGTTTAAAATGTTACCTGTGTGAAAATGTGTTTGTTAGTATTAGTTACCTTGCGCAACAATGATTTCCTGTAGGTATCATTGTTTCCTTAAACACGATGCTTTCCTCTGGACTGCAATGTTTTTCTCGGGTTAACAATATGCACTGTTTCCTTCTCCTCAATGTTATGTCTATAGATTGTGATGTCTATATTTGTGGTGTGATAGGATCTGGGGAGAGTAAGCCCAACGAGGACGCCCACTGGAAACATTCTGCTGGAGAGGTCGTTCAGCTTCTCAACAAAGTCCGGCTGGAAAATTCGGATGGTAGGTTGTTTTCTTGGAAGCGGTTTCATCCCTTAATGATGGTGCAAAAGTTCTTGTTTGAGTAAGTAAAAATACGATGACACTTCCTGATAAAAATATGACATGGAAAGAATCTAATTTGGTTAATGTTCATTTGTGTGAATCACGATGCACCAGAAGCCGTTCTAATTAGTATGACAGTTGTTGCCAAATTGTGTCTCTCTGAATGTAAAAAGTGAAAGGTAATACTGCCATTTGGATGGTTTGCTAAATAATTTGATTTGGTTTATTCATCAATAGCTACAGCTATGTCATTTATGAGTCCCAAACTTGATAAATTTTGTTTCAGCACCAAAGCACAGCGATGTTTACTTGAGTTGACATGATAAATCAGGACCATTTATCATCCTTCTATTTCTTGTTTTGATTTTGTTTACAGAGAAAGAAGCACTGGCCAAAAAGTTGACTGAGCTGTTGACTCACAGAGACCGCCAACAGATCCAGATGAAAAGGTAGGGGAGAGCACTCTATGGTGCTTATATAGTACAGAGTGGTTAAGGAAGAGCGTTCCTATGTCAGATGAAGTTGCTTGTCCAGTGGAGATACACATCTGCTCATTCAGTGGTATCTCAGGGTGAAATTTGGCAGGAAAGCCATACATTACACTAATTGATATATTACCAATTTTTTCCTCAAATCCTTGATATGTTTGATCATTTGTTCCTGCACCTCAAAGCAGTTAAAGATGATAAGTTTATGAATAACCAGACTAGCTGTTAATTGTTTTACTTCATACATCCATCAGATGAAGGCAATTGTGAGGTTGAAAGCTAATGTGTTGTACAATAGGTATAATGTTTTGCTGTATACTTCTCTCACAAGGCTCCTGTTGTGTGGAACCCTGCAGAATTGGGAGATTTCTCCTGTATCTATTTTAATAAAGGATGAGCTTAACTTCAGGATTCTAACCCAGTTATCAAATAGTGACCAAAGAAAAACAAACAATCTATAAACATTTAAGATATTGTTTTAATGGCCTAAAATGGTCATGGCTTCCGGTAACAGCTAGAACAGAAGCCCATGATAGGGGTAATATGATTAAATTCAAAACCGATAACCCAATATGTGGGTATAACTGTTAAAGAGTCAGTCACATAGCTTAGGGGTAGCATTTTAGGTGTTTTTCCGCAATCCCCTTCTGTGATGTTAAGGAAGCCACGGTGAATAATGTATTCCAAAAACTGCCACACTGAAAAGATACTCCCTGAAATTACTTTTGTTTATCTCCTATGTAACTGGCCTGATAGGAAGAGAGAGTTTCAACAAGGGGCATAACTCTAGTATAACATTTGAAACCAACAATAATAATAATAATACATTGATATAGAGCCCTATCTAGCTAACATAAGCCACTCTAAAGCACTTTACAGTACATAGCTATACAATTAATACAATTAGAATATACAATTTTTGAGGAATTCGCAGGAGCTGCCTTATCAGCGGGCACTACATGTAACTACTAGTCCTATGCCACCTGGCTAATATCTCCCTATGTGTGTATGCCTGCGTGTGTGCTGGAGATGTATTTTGTTCTGTTTGAAGTGGGACCGTGCTTCCAGCGGCATTTTTTCTAGTGCCACTTCACTTGAATGCTACATCACAGATACCGCAACATCCACCCCAGACCATTTTATACTCCACCTGGGTTGTTGGAGGAGGCAATTAGACAAAGAAAGATAACTTACATTTGATAACGCAATTTACTACGTTATTCAACTAAATTCATTTACAACCTAATACACCCTTACAATGAAAGGTGTTACCAGAATAATATCAATTGAAAATTTTGAATTTCTTAAAAAAACACCTTTTTTATTGTTTTAAACATGAATTATAGAAATTTTGAAACATTCCTTTCACATTTTGAAATAGACATTTATGTTCTTCATATCCATAAGAGGGGTATAATACCTGTTGGTGCATGTTCCTTTAAACTGGATTAGGCAAATAAAAAAAAAAAATTGTGTTTCCGCTATCATCCTAAGAAAAATGAGTCTTTTTTTTTTGAAAGTTTTGGAAAATATTTACTATGCTTATTATATTGAGCAGGAGTTCTTACTTAACAGTGCATATCACTTAATGCCAATTAAGACTTCAGGGTATAGGCACAAAAATCTCGGGTAGGTAGGGTTAGCAGAAAGATTTTTTTATTTGACCTTATGTACATGTATCATATCGGTACTAGTTAAATTAAGTTCTTGGATTCTTTTTAAATATCTAAATGTTATCTTCATAATTTCTCTTCTCAGTTTGCAAAGTGAAGTAAAAAGAGAAAAAAATGTAAGTATGAATCTTCTATCAAGCACTGATGCATCAGATTATGAAACTTTGATAATAAATTCTCATCAGACAATAGGATTTTAGATTATATCACATCTGACATTGAAATTTTGGGTAGGAGCACTTTTCAGTTACACATTCCTGGGCCCGTATTCATGAAACTGTTCTCATGCTCAAGTATGGATTTCGTGCTCAAGCCTAATTTCTTGTTCTTGTTTTAATAATAAACAAATCTCATTTTGTCAATGATTTTTTAGAACAGTTATAAGGAGACGTTAAGCCAAATGCTGTTTTTCATGTTTACATTTGACTTTTTGATCGTTTGACATGACTTAAGTGTGTTAAAAGAAAGTTAGTTTAAGCACAAAATCAATGCTTGAGCATGAAAACGGGTTCAGGTACCCTGTCCAAAATCTAGGTCTATGTAATGTTTAACTTTTTCAAGATGGAAATACAAAAGCCATCTTTGGTAAGTGACGAGAAGTTATGTATCGCATAAACTCTTCGTGCGGAAATCACATTGACTGTTTGTAATCAGCTCATCAGGTTTGAACAAATTGACAACAACCGATTCCATAAGATATTTTGTAGTGAAAAATCTTTTGCATTTAACGAATATTTGTATGACCCTGAAGGAAATTTTTCAACATTGGATGATGTAAAACCTGACATGTGATCAAGTGTAATCTATTAATTGTTAAGTGACTCAAGTCTTATATCTGTTATGACAGGGGATACAAAGTGTAGTAGGACAAGGAATAGTGATAAAGATAGTGTTGTCGCTGGGGCTCGAACCCATGACCCTTAGCTCTTCAGCCCAATGCTCTACCGCTGAGTTAAAGGGAAATTCCCTACAGCTGATGCTTGAAAGGCAACCTAATCAATGCACATCTTTTACACAAAGAACTGTTTCATATGTATATACATATTTATATATAACTGTTGCCATGGTTACAGGTGGCAGCTCACCTTGCTGATGATAATGCAGACCTCACTAAGGAGCTGATGCAGCTGAGGGCTAAACTCGTCAAATACGAGAAAGACCTGGAGCATGCCAAAAAGGTAAGGAAAGACCAAATGATACATACCAAAAAGGTAAGAAAAGACCAAATGATATCAAAAAGATAAAAAGATAGTATGGTACATTTGCTAAAAAGATAAGAGAAACCTGGAGTATCGATGTCAAAAAACATGAAAAACAATGCCATCAGAGACATGCTATAAAGGGTAGTAAGATTAGCTCTATATGCCAACTAAGAATTTTTTTGTCAATATTTACTTATTCTTAAATATTCTTTTTCTTAAATATTTCCGGCCTACATGTACATGTATTACCTTTATAACTTTGTTTGACAGGTGATAGAGAGGCAGCTCTCTGACTTGAGTACATTTGACGATGATTCTGACGACTCCTCTACCAGTGTTGACAAGTCGGCGTCAGAAATCCTCCAGGTCAGTAGGTATTCATTACCTGCATTAACATCCCAAATGTGGCTCGATTCTCATAGTCCTACATGTATGAGTCTGGAGGCCTGAGGTCAAGGTCGCTGTTACTAGAGAATAGGAGAAAAAGATTGTCATTGCTGTACTGTCCTCTTTGTCATTTGAATATTGATAAAATTTTCACAAAAATTCTATGATTATCTCAAACATATTTTTTTAAGGTAAATTTAAAAAGAACAAGGTCATTCAGTCAAGTTAATGTAGATTTTTCTCTCTCGTTTATTTAAATTTTTGATGAATTCAATATTTTCTCCTTCAGGTGTCTTGTGAAAAAACTGATAAGTAATAGCTCCAATGTTTTATTACAGGAAACAGAAAGCTATACCTTACGAGAGACAAGCAGCGACCCCGACATTCTAAGGTCAAGTCTTAGGGAACTCAAGGAAAACGTAGAAGCCCTAACAAAGGTCAGAGGTTATGAAAACATATCAATATAGATTAATATTGTTTTTGATTGAAGCAAATACAGCAAATGAATAATGATAATCATTAAGATATATAATATTATCTGTCATAGACAGACAAATTCTACCCGAGGGACATGAATTAATAACATTCAAGATTTGTATTATTCTCCCTATTCATAACCCTTTAGGTGACATTATCTTCTTCAGAATAGTATTTTTCTTTATATCAAGTGTTTTTAAATAACAACAACATCAATTTAGTGTGAGAAAAATATCAGGTTTTCAATTATGAAATATTATTTGGTTAAAAGGCCCTTTGGGCCAGGAGAGCTAAAAATGGCATTTGATGAATTTCAGATGTTTCTTTTTTAAAGACTTGAATGGTAATCATTACAGGAACTTCGCAAAGCTGCAGAACGAATGAAGGAAGTGGAGCTGATGAACATGGAGTTAGAGGATAAGGTATGGAAGAAGAACAACTTCACACTGTAAAATTTCATTGCTTTGAGGTCAATTATCAATTATCAAAGAATTTGTGGTTGCAAAAATCATGAAAATATTGAAAAATTTGATTGCCATAAATTATAGTTAGATTTTAAGAAGGGATGAGCTTCAGTGCTGCAGTCTTAGTCGGATATTTACAAAAACAGATTAATAATGAATGAATGCATTAAAACAAAAAATGATTTTAACTTCCAAAAAAACCCAGTGATCCAACAGCCCATTTTAAGATTTTAGCATTGTCAGTATTAATGGATTATTTTTGTAAGAATTTTAAGTGCTGAAATCTGTGTCCAGCCTTTCAGGTATTGTACTTTTTAAAGTCTTTAAAAATCCTTCCTTAGGTAGAGGAGTTAGAAAACAGACCACCAGAAATCATCACAGAGACCACCACTATCTTCCAAGAGTAAGTATTGATTCATTAGGTGATTTAGGCGATGATTTTTCCCACACTTAACAGGTTTTGCTGGGAAAAAGATTAACTTGTCTTTACCAACTAAAAGAAAAGACAGCTGACACGCACTATTGAAAATGTCACCCTGACTTTACCACTTTCACATAAAATACGAAAATACCTCTGTGAGTTAAAACTGGACATTTTGATGATTTTGCATACTGGTAGTAGTATCGGATAATTCAAGCTCTGCTCATTCTGTTATGTCTTAATTATTATTGTGACAGTTTCATTGTTCTATAACAAAAATGAAGACTTTGAATCTACTCGAGTGATTTTTCCTCAATTCAATTTCAACATCAACTTCAATGGAGTAGGAAATTCCCTTGCAATATATATATCCTGTCTCTCTTTTGTAGAGTAATTGTTACCAAGGCTCCAAGTAATTGTGAGTGTCATCTACCAAAGGTCGAAAAGGTAAATACAACAGATCATGATGGTGGTGTTAGAGGGGTGGGGGTGGGGTATAGAGTAGGGGGATAAAGGGATGGGGATGGGATGTAGGGTAGGGGG